TAGCTCCTGTAAGAAGAGCTCTGTAAGCTCTTGGAGGATTGGCTACATTAGGGGTGTGTGGCCTAATATGTAAAGGAGTTCCTGCTACAAAAAGAGCCCATCTAGCATCGTCACAGAACATTGAGGACCAGGATCTTGAATCAATAGGGGAAGGATATGCCATAAATACAATGGCTATGTGTAGAACTAACATTCTTCTGACTATCGGGTGCTGTGAATTAACCTTATCTTGTGATGAGGTCTCTGATTGCCTGCCATGGAAGGTGTTGGCCTTGCACAACATGATCATTCTTTATTTTTGTTTAGCATCCAAGTAGCAAAAACAGAGTGTGAATCCAAAGGGCATGGTTCATTGGAGTGATTGTAGCTTAGTAAGCTGCCTTGAATGCCAGTATTGGTAGACTGGTAGGTCATACATGCTCATACCTGCATATTTGTGAACAAGCATTGAAGTCATTACAGAATAAGTAGAAAATCTCCCCTTTTCTGGAGCAGCAAGAGAATCTCCTTCAGCGTTTCCATGATCTTTTTATGGAGCTCTGAATGGGTGAGGGTTCGAACCACAACCTCGCTCAAGCAGTACAGCTGAATCTGAATCCATCATAAACTTCTTTTTAAATTTCAGAAGCCTCAAAAGCCGCCTGCATGCAGCCAAGAGGTGCAGCTGTTAAAGAAGAGTTTTAAGCCTTATTTCTTTATGTACAGGCCATCATATCCTTCTGGGGAATCGTGAATTTGAGCTTTCAGTCTGCTTTTTTGATGAGAGCTCTCTTTTAGTCCTCACAGTTGTAGAGTAAAATACAAAACTTGCGCTTTGTACTAAATAGTTAGAAATTGGACTGGTTTGGACTAGAGTAGTTTGGTTTGAGTCCCAGTTTATGCTCTTCAGTCAGTGACCGTTTTTTCTCTAAGAAAGATTCAGATGCTGCCAAATCTTCACAAGCCAGAGCCAGAATGTAATGGATCATTTCAGGCATTGGATTTCTAGTGCAATTCCAGAGTTTTGCATGTATGTATTATGGGAGATATACTTCCCTGTGTTTTGTTAAAATGAGAAGGCTACAGATGATAACTAACAGCAGCCTCTTCTTCCTGGGTGTGGTAGCTCACTTCCTCACTTCAGAGAACCCAGGGACTAGTGATGCACAGAACTCCTTGCTGTATTGTCTATGGGCAACTGCATAGTAGTGCAGTGATGTGCTTCTGGCACTCAGCACATGGTGATGCTATTGCTGTTTATACAGCAGCTGCACCTGTAGTAATGTTTGTGGGGAGGTGTCAGAAGGAGCTCTTTGTTGGAGCGCTACACCTGTCCCCTCAGAACAGCTGAATGATACTAGTTAAGGAGAGAGAGAGCTGAATTGATTTGCCATAACTAAGAGCCCTGGCTGCCTCTAAAATTACTGGAGGTCTGGGCCATGCATCCAGAAGGGCTTATGCTTCATCTCGTCCTGCCTTGTGGCTTTTGTTAGAAATTTAAAAGTATAAAGTCTTAGATACAAGCAAAATTGTGAATATACTGAATATCAGAGAGTGAGTTCTGTAAACTGTTAAGCACCCAGTATTGCCTTAGCACGTGTATCCTAATTTTTGGCATATGGAAGACAGGGAAAAATAGAAGCTGGAAAAAGGCTGCGGTCACATGGTTGTTTTGATCGGGATTCACTCCTGTTCCCTCTCGCATATGATCAGACAGGCCAATCCGCCTCCCGCCCCGAAGCGGGCTCACTTGCTCAGTGCTCCCGGTTCTCTCCCACGTTTTCCTACACCTGGAAAAATGAGTACTTTCTGGGTGTTTCCACTGCAATTCCACACTTTCCCCTATCTGGACTCCCCTCTCGCAATGAGTGCGATTTGGTCCGTCCCCCCCCCCCCCCCCCCCCCTGGCGACTGCCAATTATGCACGTGCGCAGTTATGCACATGATAACCTGTGCGCATGTGCAAATGATTTTTTTTTTAAATCCCGCACCGCCAATTGGGCAGCGCGGCTGTCTGACTCATCGCACAATTCAAGAGGGACATGTAATCAGTTTTCATCTGAAAAAAAAGTCGCAGATAAACTGACAGTGGGAGCAAGTCACGGTAAGAGGTCAGTGTGACTGCAGTCTAGAAAACACATTTTTAATGAATTGTGTTTGGACAGAAACAATCTCACATAGTCCTAATTGGGCTAGTCCTATATCATCATACGTGTTATAGCATAATAGGGACAAAATAGAACCATATTCAGAAAAAACACATGCTTTCTAAACTGTATGCTGGTCTAAAGACCATAATAAACAACTGTACCTATAACATCTGATTGAAAATATTGCACAATCCACAGTATACACAGGAATTATATAATGATTGTTTTGCATAACTGTCTTTATCTTACAAATTCTTAGGTTTCTTTTAGGGTATTCAGACAATTTAAGTTTTTCCATACTTTTGAACTTACTTTCAGAATCACAAAGCCTAAACTTGTCGACGTGGGTTTTTTTAATGGAACATTTTAGGTTGCCAAATTATGTGGTATGGCACAGAAGTGTGAAATGTTTTCTCCATCCTTCCCCATAGTGTTACACTGGTAAGCACTAAAAAGCAACCTGTTGTGAAGTGTTCAGTGGTTTCTGTATGTCTTGCATGTCCTAAATACACAGACCAAAAACATTTATGACCTGAACCAGTTGAGCCTTGAAGCAAATTATGATATTTAATCCCACCTGTGAGAGCAATTCCAGCTTGTCTGAGGAGTTCAATAAATAGTCTTTTTAAGGTACAGGTACATAAAATGTGTGTCTGTTTAAAAAACCCATGAGTGACCTTTGTTCTTGGCTGTCTTACTACTGGGATGTTGCTCTGTATTGAAACAATGAGCAGCGTAGGTTTTTGTGCCATTGCTTTTTGAGAAGGTTGAACTATGGTTCTCTTGAAGTTGCCTGAATGCTGTTGAAGAACACCACAGCTGCTGGATTCAGTGGGACTGGCACAGGCTAATTCCTGGCTATTTGCATGCACAACAATTTGGCAGAACTTGATGTGTCACCAGATCCAATGATGTAAGAATAGCAGAGACTGATACCAAACGAAGAAAGGCTGCCCCTCTGAAAATAGGTTGAAAATATTGAAGAGTAGTGGGTAGCTGCTTTTTCATACACAGATGGAGAAAACTTAAGGCATAACTTCTTGTTGCCCATCTTTTGTTTGTTGTAAAAAGAAAATGTTCTTGGGTGGTAAAGTTCAAATTAATTGGTGAATAGTGTTCCTGCTGCTTGGTCAGTGCTACAATCTATAACTCTTCTAGTGATCTTTGTTTCACACGAAACATGCCAAGATGTCTTTGAGGCTGCATATCTCACAAAATTTAGCAGAGCCCTTGTAGTACTGGGTGTCTCTAGTCAAAACCCACGTCAGTTCCATGTTCCCCAGTGCCTAAAAGCTCCTTAGAATCGGAGTTATTAGGCACCAGGAAAAGTCCAGTCTTTACAGATGTCAGGGCTTCCACCCTGCATTTCTGGATGCCTGAACTCCCCTGTTGTGAACTCAAGCTGTTTGGGAAGTGTGAACCTTCCTGTCTGTTTGGGGGGGGGGCGCCTTTCAATCAGGTAGTGATGTGCGTATAAGTGCATAATTGCCCTTGGCGTTGTCAAGTCATTGCTTGTATGTCCAAGCAATCAAGTAGACATTCTGGATCGGGAGAGTTGTTTGTGAGCGATAAACCCTCCCCAAAACCCTCTCTCCTGTTTCTGCTTCAGTTGTTGTTTGAGAGCATTCCATGATTAACTTAAGAGTAAATGTACTGAAGTCAGTGGGACTAGTCTCACATATGTTTGCATGATGCTTGCACCCCCCCCCCCATGTATTTTAATGAAGAGAGGCGAAGCGAAGGAGGCTGAGAGGGGCTGCAGTACTTGGCGGAGGGATTGTGGAGCTATCACAGTGGACTGGTGCATGGATGAAATGCTTCTATGCATGCATGACAATTTTTTAAAAAGGATTCCGCCTGATCGCCCACTCTGTAGTTACCATGCAGCAATAATCTGAATGGTTGAGCATGCGGTGAGGTGGGTTCAGGGTGGGATGTCTGATCAAAACTCTGTTAGAAAAAACCTAGATTAATTAGAGATGGGGTCAGAGTGTCCCAAGCCTGTCATCTTACTTCAGCCCTTCAGTCAATTCTTGTTTTTTTGTGAGGATAAAATGAGGGAAGTGAACTCTACACATGCCATCTTGAGCTTTTGAAGGGAAGGTAAAAACATGACAGGACTGTTTCTGGAATTTACATTATGACAAATTGATATTTATGACAAAAGCTATACTCTTGTTACCAATGCTTGCCTAGTGTGAAATTCCCTCCTTTATAAAAGTATGTTATGCGTATCATCCAACTGTCTCCCAAAGTGACTGATACCCAAATCAAAAGTCTGCAAATGGAAAAAGATAAGACGTAAAATGGAAGAGGAATGGTAGGATCACGCTGACATGGGACGAAACCAGATTGCATGCTGGGAGTTTTTTTATTAGACCCCCCCAGGTTTTTTAAAAAATGCAATTATTGGGTGTTGTGAGGCCTCTGATTCCATCAGGGCTATGGGAAGGGTCTTTTTAAGCCTTCACCCTCATGTCATATTCCTGACATTTTCCGTAGGGAAGATATCTGCTCCTAGTGTTATTTCAGGTAGAAAAAATGGTACGGGGGAGAAGGCTTCAACTTTCCTGGTCCTGATCAGAATCAGGCCCTTATGTGCCCAGTACCTGCATTAAAAAGAAAACAAATCAGGGAGCTCCAGCTGCAGAACTGGCAGTGTCTCGTTGGGTTTGTCCCACTGACCCTGATCATATCCAGTTGAGAGCAAGCTGACCTTCCTATGGAGATGGTGCTTGTCCTGGGAGGGAGAGGGAGAAACATGGGTGGCCCTTGGACCCATGGCCAGATTACCTATTTTATGCAATGGTAATGAACAACTTTGGCAGTAATGATACACCTATTCCTCTCCCCCCCCCCCTTTTTTTATAGATGGAATGAATCTTCCTTGTTGAATGCATACGGTCTACTTGCTGGAGCTTGCTTGTTCTTTGAGTTGAAGCCACTTCGTGGCAGGTTGAATTGTGGATCCCTGAATCCCTAGTCTGCTTGTCAAGAGGAAGACAGCTGAATCACGTTAACCTGACATCACAGCCACCATGGTGCTGTCACAGAGGCAACGAGATGAACTGTGAGTAGTCCAATGCATCAAATTGTAAATGCTGACCATGCTTATCGTTGGCTGTCTCCTATGTGGTGGAACCCCCAGGAGGCATCCACTTGTATCCTTTTTTGTTAATAAACTTATCTGGATGTCTGTAGCGCTCTGAATACTGTGCTCACACTAATAAAAACCTGACCATAAAGCAGTTATCGTTAAAGAGGATGGCATAGATCACACTTGGTATGTTGTTCAGTCACACAGTCTGAACTCTGCAGCCCAGTCACTACGGGCCATCATTTTGGGTAGCATTTTAGGTAATCCTGTGTAGTGGGGCCTTTTCAACATTGGCATCAATATTATGGAAATCTGAAATCAGGCCTGCCAGGTCCGGTCTTTGCAGTTTCATTCTGCTCTGATAAACATGGTTTATATATCAGGTTCTTTCTTGTCAGTGGGGGGGGGGGCAAATTGTTGTTCCCCCGGCTTCCGGTGCATCTTTTTTTGCCCCCACATTGATCCTGAAGGTCTCTTGGCCCACGGGGAGCAGCGTTATGTGGGTCTTCGTGGGCAAATGCAGGGAGCTTCGCTTTGCTGGCAGTGCTTTGGATCCAGGCCATAATTTTTTACCATAAATCACCATGAGTGCCTTTAATGGGTGGAAAAGCCAGGAGATAAGCTTTTAAATAAAGGGAGACTTTTCTGGAAACCCATATGAAATCAACCTAAACAAAATCTGCTTTCCGTACTTGAAAGAATAAATGACTAAGGGCTTGGTAGGTCGTAGTAAATGTACATTCACTTCAGGTGTAGTAGAATATCCACTAGGGAATATCTGCATTTTTGTACTCAGTATCGACTAGCACATTCCAAGAATCACCTTCAGTGTATGCCGGGGGAGACACTTCAGTAACTGGTTAGATTTGGACTTCTTAAGGTGAGGAGCACTTGCTCACAACGAACACTATTAAAAAATTTCTTCATGTGTTGGGCGGAATGCAAATTCTGGTGCTCATATTCTCATGACAATAATTAAATGCCTCATGATAAAGAAACCTGTGTGGCCCATGGCTCTAATTGAGCAACCAGTCAATTCACAACTTAATGGTGTGCTATCAAATACTGTCATATTTCTGCAGGGCAAGTCAACCATCAGGGCCCCCCTTTCCATTGATGCTACAGCCTGCCTACCTCTGAGCTCTCCTAACACCGTTTGCTAGAGCAGGGGACACCTCATGTGCTTGCTCCTGCAGGTTCAGCCTCCTCACGTGTGCCTGCTCAAACGGGCAGGCATGCTGCTTCTGCTTGAGCTCGGCCAGCATTGCTGTCATATGCTTGGAGGCTGCTGCCTGTCTCTTCCAGCCTCGGTTGCATGCAACTGGAAGAATGAATCATGCACTTGGTCTCAAAATAGGCTGTACACTCCACATTACAAAAATAAACAATATCTTAGCATAAAGGTAACCTGAATTCTGCAACCGGCAAACTCTAGTTCAATCTTTGTCTGGTTTTTGTAAATGTTTGTAAACTTCACAGCATTTCATATTAATCTCTGCACCCCTCATATCTTCCTCTTATCTTGTGACCTAAATAAACTTTTGTTCAGACATCACAGGAACAAGCCTAGGAAGTCCTTGGATTCTTGTGCTCTCCTTGCTGTGTTCCATTGTGTGCAGCTTGGAGGGCAAAGCCTTCCATGTTCCCAACAGATTGCACTTTGTCATGATGTCCAGGTCAGATAGAATGACAATGATACTTGTGTTACCTTATCCAAGAACCACACTGTGGTTTTGAGTCCTGGCTTGCAGATGAGAGATCAGGATACAGCGGACTGGCTTGTTGGGAGTGTGGCTCAGTCTCTGAGGGGAGGGGAATCATGCAGGGCAGAAGATTTGAGGCTTGTTTCTGTGCACTGCAGAAATATTTTGCCCCACACTGTTCCTGGAGATCCCTTAAGCCACCAGGAGTAGCATTATGTGGGTCTCAGTGGGCTGCCCGCTGAAACCAGCAGCCTTTGTAGCCTATGGGAGGAATTTGAGCACAGGGTTCATTGTCATGGTATCTGTATGGTCCCACCTTCTTTGCCAGAAATCATATTCAGAATCTTTTTCTCTAGCCAGTATGACATTCTTAAATATTTCTGTGTTTTACCAAATCATAAGAGTCATGAAGTTTTCCAGCCTGTCTAGTCAAAAAGGAAAGCTGCCTAGCGTTCTGTAGAGCAATTCTAACTATCCTGTGATTCTTTGACATCCTAATCAGGGTGTGGTAAAGTCCCCCCCTCCCCAACTATTAACAAAGACAGTTTTGTTTTCAAAGGCTGAGATTCTCACTTGGCTTTTGCTTCTCTTTGGGTTATGCATGTAGCATCCAACTAACAAAAATGAAGGCCCTGGGCAAAAATAAAACCAGTTTTTTCCTTCTTTTTCTGATAACCTTTTCAATTTTTCCAAATTTTTGAGGAGTACTAAAACAACTTCTAGAAATTGTTTTTTTCTTTGAAGCTAGTGAAATGATTTTTTTCAAGATCAGGTTTTACTGAGAGATGTATGCATTCAAACTCCAAAGATATTCCAATTAATACAATTCTAGATGCTAAGTTATAAATTACACATTTGATTTGACAGTGAAAAGTATTGTATACATTTCGATTTCCCCGAAATTCCTGTTTTTCCAAAGAGTGTGTGCATGTCAGTTTCCCCGCCCCCATGGGCACAGTATTTCTGGAGATTTTGCAGCTGTACATTCAGTAATTCTCTGAGAGCATGTGCTCCATCACTGAGAAACACGGGTTCCTTTGGAGCATATGGCAACTTGATCTACTAGAAGGGGCAGGAGTCATGTGATGGAGCAAAATAATTTATTTATTTATAGTCAAATTTATACCCCACCCTCCCTGCAAAGCAGGCTCAGATTCTTGGACTGTTGTGGAATTCCTGTTGAAAAGTTACGGTACAGTCTGCAATCAGCATACGCTTGATTTTTTTTGTATATGTGCATTCAGTAAGTTTCATGTTACATTGAACACATGTACAGTTGAACATATGATTGAAACCCCCAATTTATCCAGGTACTGGTTCCCAGTTTCATTTGTGAAGTGAATGATCATTGGCTCTTCCTTACAAACAGGCATACAAACATACATGCAGATTGTACACACATTCACTGTAACATATGGACTGGGCTGCTGAAAACAGTGACCACAAAAGCATTGGGAAGGTAGCTCTCCCTGTTGAGAACCAATGTCATGTAGTGGCTAAGAGGATGCCCTGCAATTTCTCTTCAGATATCTTCAGAGTTGTGAGATCTCTAGGTACGTTCAGACACCCCTCAGTTTCTGTCCCCCGCTACTGCAACATGGAGGAGAGGGTAGTAATGGCCTCTCTTATATGGTTGTTGTAAGAGTTACTTGAAAATATGTGAAGCATGGGGTAGGGTCAGAGTGAAGGACTAGGATGGTTGAGACCCAGATCCAGGGACCCCATCTACAGTGGAGGATTTCTGGGTGACCTTGGGCCAGTCACACACTCTCTGCGTATCCTACCTCATGGGGTTGTTGCTAAGATAAAGCAGAGGGGAGAATGATGAAAGCTGGCTTGGATCCCTGCTGGAGAGAAAGGCAGGGTATAGATGAAGTAAGTAAATACTTGAAATAAGCCATATAAATACTATTGTCTGTCTGTCTGTTTATTTTAGATTAGTGGTCTCCAGCCTTTCTAGAATGTGAACCTATCTTTAACACCCAGACAGCTGCACAGTGACCAGTGAGTACATGACAGGGAGTCATGTGACATCAGTTTCATGATAGGTAGAGGAGGAACTAGGGTTATGACTTCACTAGTTGGGAGGAGAGATCTGTAAGCTAGTATGGAGCACTGGCTGGACCGAGTGGCTGGTTGTCAGGTGGGAGGGGGCAGGGATCTCCCACAATGAGTGGCCTTGCTCCTCCGCTCAGCATGCATGGGAAGAGCGGCGGGGGGAGGGAATGCCCTCGCTCTCTATCCCTGTGCATCAGCAGCAGGCCCCTTTCAAAAAAATTATTTATTTCATTTATATCCCACCTTTCTCTCTGGTGGGGACCAGTGTTACCTCTAAGATGAGTTAGTGTGAGCTTATCTAGCTTGTACCTTCCAAAGTTTGCAGTGTACATAGGCTGATGCAGATTGGGAACAACTGTATAAACCCAAGTGATCTAACTGCAGAGACTTAAAAGCAGTCATAAAGTTAGACCAGTTGCCATTAGCCAGTCTGCATATGAGAGGCTTGGAACGGGTTGCATGGTTGGGTTAGCATCAGGCCCAACGGTTTGATGATGTTAGAAGTGCAAGAAACGTGTGCATCTTGCTACTGCTTTGGTAAGGTGTCACCTGAAGCTGTCAAGCCAGCGCAGGCATGAGGATATTTTCCCCTCTTCCTCCCAGAGAGTGGCCCCTGTTACTTGGAAGATTTGAGGATACATTTTTTACAAATCTCACAGGATATCTCACAGATGCATGACTAGTGGGTTGATGGAAACTTTTTAACAGCCCAGTGGTATCTTGCTACATGCTGCCTTAGGGGTGCAAACATGTTAGGATAGGGACGCAAAGATCCTTCTTTTTGTCTTCATGGTTTATGTTCAGTTGCACATGGAACTGTGCACACAAAGGCCTGCTGTGGAGAGAAACTGCAAAGAACTAGTCTTTTCTATGCTGCAAGAGCACGTCCACATTCCCTTCTAGAGGTGGCCCACGTGGCTGGGAGAGGGGAAGCCATCTTCCCTCCGTCTTCTCTTTGCCACTGCGAGGAGATCTCTGCAAAAGGGCTTGTCATCATTTGTCTGTTCACGGAGCTCGTTTGTCTCCCACCTTCCTTGTTCTGAACAAAGATGGCTTTGAGAAATGTGTGGGCTGCAGCACCAAGATGGCCCGGTCTGATGGTTATGAAGGGTGCCTGTGATGCCTGGGAGAGTCGCACCAGGCTGCTTTGAGGCAAGGCAGCTGAAGCAATTAAAATTTTACAAAGGATGACTTGATGATAGGTAAGAAGTT